AAAAAAAAAAAATTTTAACCCACTTAAGATTTTTTTTTTTAATTCAGCATAAACCTAAAATTGTCAGAAACTGGGCCAGTGTCAATAACTGGGTCTTTTACCTTATATTGTTGCAATAAAATTAGATCAAAAAGTTTAACATTAATTAATTGTTTTTAAATATTGTAACACTTTCGGAATTATAATCTACATTAATATCCTGTCTATTTTGCAATCCCAACAAATTTGCTAACAGGAGTTAACAAATGCATAAAAATATATTAAGTAGGTGAACAGAACGCATTGTCATGAGTATTGTAATACTAATTTCCTTTCCAGGTTTGAAAGAATGTCGTAGTCGGTATTAAACAGTATTTAACACAATTATTTCGTAACGCAATAAAAGTATAGTTAACGTATTATACAATGATTAGAAACTGAAATTACACATACAGATAAGTCAGAAAAAACGATAGAAACCGCGAACAGTTATTTCAAAAATTATAAAACAGATTGTTAAAAATATACATGTCTAATACGGCGCTCTGTACGGATGCGAAACGTGGACGATGCCCACGACGGAAAAAAATTAGAAGCGTTTTATAGGTGGTGCCCAAGAAGATTATTTACTTATGTATATGAGATGAAGTCCAGTAATTTCCGAACTCGAACAGTTATTTCAGAAGTTAGAGAACAGATTGTTAAAAATATACATGTCTAATACGGCGCTCTGTATGGATGCGAAACGTGGACGATGCCCACGACGGAAAAAAATTAGAAGTGTTTGATAGTGGTGCCCAAGAAGATTAAGTACTTATATATATGTATGAGTTGAATTCAAATAATTTCCAAAAAAAAGTAACTGCAGTGTACAAATTTCCAAACACAAGTATAGTTTTACATCATTTAATATAAGCGGGCATTTTCCTTTATTAAATAAAATAAAGCTGAAATTTGTAGCAAGTTACTCCGAAAACTACACACAATTAAACGCATCAGTTGTACAATTTGAAAATTTCAAAGTAGATTGTAGAACTCCATCAAATGCTGCATTATGCACTTTTCATTGATATATGCTGACGCTTCATTGTAAGGAAAACGCATCATAAACTTCTCCAAAATACGTTTACCAGATTCAGTTGAATGATGTCAATTAACATGATCAGCCGTCTTCACTATTAATAAGTGTTTCTACTGATTGAAAATTTTTTAAGACGTCAGAAAAATTGTCCAAAATTCAAAGTAAAAATGAAGAGTGTGTTTTTGTTGATTCTCTGCACCGTGGGAGCTTTTGGTTTATCGATAAACTTCGACTCAAATGTAAAAGGACTCGAAGTCAAAGTCAACTCGCCGAATAATGGAACTTTGTCCGAAACCAAAAATGAAGACAACGAAGTCGATGGTAAAGAATCTGGCGGACCAACTCTACAAAAATTCTTCGAATATTTGGGTAGGAGACATAACGTTTTAGTTAATTTACATCCTTTATTTTCATTTCCTAATAAAACGCTAGGTCCAGTGAAAACGATTCCAGAAATAGTGGACGAAACGGTGAACCGATTCCAAACGATATACCGATCGCCAAAAGATCAACTGAAAACGTTAGAAGAAGTGGCGAATCCTAGCGAATCAAACGTTCTTGCGTCAGAGAACGAAATTCAACGTCGTAAGAGGTCTGCAGATGCAATCTTTGGAAAACCATTAACTCCATACAGGAAAATAACGAAAAGAGACGACGCCCCTTGTGTATCAAACTTCGATTTACAACAGCACAAACTAAGCGAGAACGAGGAAATAAACGCAATCAAAGAGGAAATGCAAAAGTTAAAAGACCTTATTGTTATTCTGCGCGACCAGCAACACGTTGTAGACATACTGAATGGCATCCAAAACCAAAAGAACGACTTAAATCCCAAACCGCATACCGATCAGAATATTAACAACGAAAATGTAAAGCTTCTTAAACTTATGGAATCCCTTGTTTCACAAATTAATTCGCAATCTACCAACGCCGAAAAAACTACAACCAGAAATGAAAAATCTGAAAGTGGTATTTCTCTGCCAATCCAAAGAAGTGACAACTTCAGACACATACTTACAACAATAGGAACCACCACAACTGTCCGTCCTACAACGGTTGAAGTAAAAACCGAAGAACCAAGTAAAAATTCAGCAGAAGAAGTTAAAGAACTGATTGGAAATCTGAGGAATATCGAAGAAAGACTTTCTCGACTGGTCCAACTGAAACAAAGAATGGCCGAATCGAAGGAAGAAGAGAGAGAAGCAGAAGGTAGGTCACTTAATGTTCCTAATAACGATAAAAACACCGAGACAACAACCACTTTACCACCAGCTAACAATAGTCAACCCATTAACAACACCTCTATCTACAACTCAACCGAAATCAATAATAACACCGTTGAAAATCATAAAAACAGTTCCGAAGAAGTTCAAAAGAACAAAGATACTGCAATACTGTCACGTATTGAAGAAATAAAAAATATCCTCGACAAGCTCACCAACTCTCAATCGAAAGTACGACAGAATTCACAGTTAGATTTCGTGGGGAATATGGAAGAACTGCTGGCCAGAAAACCTAACGAAGAAAATTCTACATCCGAAAATTCTTTAAAATTCGAGCAATTGGCAAAAACCTTACAGTTACTCCGATATTTACAAGATATCTCAAATCTACAAAGTGAACTCGAAAAGAACACAGACAAGGAACTGCAGTTACAATCAGATCAAGCAAATGAAGGTCCTGCTGACTTTGAAATTCAACTTAACAATCTTTCGAAGGTGGTAAAAAACAGCGACAATGAAACAATAAGTTCGATTGGAAGTAACGACAATATTTCTGAAATAGAGAAAAGTAAGGATGACAGAACGAGGAATGCAAGCGACAAAATCGAAGAGTTACCTACAATGGTAGAAGGCAACGACGAAAAAATGAGAGATGTAAATGACGAAGATGAGGAATTTGCAACGGAAGTTATCAATCATGCTTTAGAAAACTTAGAGGAAGGTGAAGAAGAAGAACAACAAGAAGAAGAAGAAGCTCCAGAAGAAATGAAACCTCTCCCAAGTCGAAGTTTTGGTCCGCAATACGATAAAGAAGATGAAGATGGAGTTTCTAGTTCAGAACGTATTTATTCGGATTATGGTGGCAATTACAATGGGAGACCTCCAATTCCAAAAAAACCTACACCTTATTACGTTAAACCATTAGATCCCGACTATTTAAAACACGTTTGCAAAAGTTTACACCCATACTATCCTCCTTCTCCATCTGCTCCCCCTCCATCTCCTCAGTACAATAACCAAAACAACTACAAACCTTATCGTCCTCCTCCAATAGAAATTCCTTACACGGAAAAACCTTCCACTTATTACAAAGGTATTTAAAGTATTGACAAAATTAGATATAATTAATCAAACAGATCTATTTAAGATTGTTGTTGCAATTTCCTGATCATGTATTTTGTTTTCAGAAAATCGTCCAGCCCCATCATTGTACCCATACCAAGACAGATACCCTGGACCTTATAAAAATATAGAAGTAATCCCATCACCGCCAAGGCCGATGTATCCTTCTCAATATCCACATCGTCAAGAATACGAATCACCTCGTGACATGCCGTACAGGCCGCCCTTTCTGGACTCTTTTCCAGAAAAACGACCAATACCGTACGGAAGAAGTTCGTCGACAGACGAAGGACTCCAACAACGTCCTTTGGAAGGAAATCCACAAGAACAACAACGAAATCCATTTGAAAATCCTTCAATACAAGTTGCCCCTCCGAGAAACGTTGAAGATTTAAAAATAAAATTACGCAGTTTGGAAGCCAGAGTGGCTGAACTGGGTCATGTTCAAGATTCGAACGAGGAGCAACAGAGATACGCGGAGAATTTGCAGAGGTTAATTTCGAACTTGAAACTGGAGATTCAAGAAGCCACGAACCGTCAGAACCGGAACAGTATACAGCAATCCTTAAACATTGTCCGACGCAACAAACGGGAAATTAGAGATGACGATGTCAACGTTGAAAGACAAGCGGGGGAACTAGTTGACAAACTTTACAACATGTTGGAGGGCAGTAGATTCGCTGACGATGACGACATTGACAATGACGCTATGTTACAACAATTACCAAGGGCATCGCTGGAAAGATCCATAGAGATGGAACAAAGACAGCTCCAATCACAAATTGAACAGCTCAAGAAACAAATCGGTATAATAATTTCTTTTAGCTCTTGAATATAAATCATAATGCATAAACTTTTAAAATTTTGCAGACCCGTCACCCATTGATGAAGGAAATATCAGTAAAATTCCTCTACAACCCTATAGTGATGATGCAAACACCACCCCTTCCAACAGTGGCCAAGCAAGAGGTTCAACTGATGACGAAGAATCGGATAAAGCAAGGACTTTGACTCACCACTCACTGACCACTGGACCATCGCGATACTATCACGGAGGACATTCTGACAATTACGGTCCTGGATATGGAGTCCAAAAACATTACGGTCACAAGAAGGCGGACATTCTCGGCTCGATAATAGAAAAAATATTTGACAAACTACAACACGCCATACCCGCAATAATAAAGGGGCTTGTGGGTGATTTTGTTGATGGTGCCTTCTATGACCAAGGATACGCAGGTTCTGGTTATGGTTATGGTTCTGGTTATGGATATGGAGCCGATAAATATGACTATGGACACGACATTAGTTACAAATTCAAAAGTTTCGGACTTTTAGGCACACTGCCTTTGGCGCTTTTGAACATTTTGTCGACCATCAGCTACTTCTTCAAACTTTTGCAAAGGAACAAGTTTATCAGAAACTTCTTGATTCCTGTTGCAGTTATAATTGCAGTAACGGGATTGGTGGCATTTTTGGTATTTTGGTTTAATTACGACGCGTTTGCTGGTAATATGTTTGGCGGCTACAATGGTTATCAGAAAATTGGCAGTTATGACGATTACCACAAGGGTGGATATGGCAGTTATCAAAAAGTAGGATATGGAGACCACCAAAAAGGTGGTGGTTACGATAGTTATCCAAAACCCGGATATAAAGGTGTAAGTTACACTCCTGGCTACAGTTACAAGAAACCTTACTACAGAGACAGCAACGCGGAATCTTTCACGCCACCATTTACCCATAATTTGGACAAATCTGTATTAAACAACGAACCTAGTTTTCCAGGAATTGTAACGCAAATAAATGATCATACGAAACCAAAAATGTAACAAAATTTAAATGTACTATCAGACTTTTATACTTTTGTAATAAATTAAAAATAAAGAATTCAAAATAAAAGGCACTTTGATTTTACACTATCTAATAATTAGAAAGGTCANCATGGGACATATTAATTTTCACATTTTGTAAACAATAAAAGTTACTCGAATTTGATATCTTCAAGATTTAATTAGTTTCGGTCCCAGTTTTTTAATCCTTCATTGGGTAGACACATATATAATTTTGACGAGTCAAAAATTATTTAATTTAAAAAAGGGAAACCTATAGTTAGTTAAGTTGCTTCCATTGCTGCTTGTCCGCGAATTATTCGTAATCAGAAAGGCCTTTCACAAAAAAGGGTAATCCTCTTTTCACGAAATTTCTAGCAGCGTAATCTCTGTGTTGAATATTACGGCCAACATTAATGTAGCAGCAAAAAACTGTGCAGAATTTTTTCTACATAAAATACCCCTACTATTTTAATTAAATACCAAATATACAAATGCGGTGGTTAAAGTTATTCCAGCTACTAAGTATCTTTACTTAATAAATCAAAAATCCGCGAACGCTACCTACACAAAACAAACATTTTCGAGGGCAGCATCAATTTCTTCGTAAACCTTTTTAAGTGCTTAAATTTTCGAAATTTAATATTAAAATCCAAATTATTTCAAATGTACACTTCTGTGCGATCAAAAGGTCTATGTCTATCTGCTTAATTCCCACACTTTCAAAGAATTTTGGAATAGTTCCGGAAAGATCTATCAGACTATTTAAACAGGTAATATGATCAACTGTTTCTGAAGTGATATAAATTCAAAAAGGTAGCACTGTAATAGATATGGGTGTTGAAAGTTGTAAGCATAAAAGGAAGCAGGAGCTCGTTGGCCAGCAACGGTTAATGGTATATTGTGGGACCAAACTGTCTCTATAAGAAGAACGAACACAGAATTTGTAATACCATCATCAACTCTATAGTAGCGTACAGTAGTGAAGTTTGGCCTCTAAAGAACGGGTCGGGAAGAATGCTTTGGGGGTAGAAAAGGAATTCTGGATCTAAACTAGAAGAGATCCCAAATGAACGAATTAGAGAAATCATGGACGTCTCTCATGACATGATCGAAGACATACGAAGAAAATAATTTAGATGGTACGACTACACAAAGATTAAAGATCAAGAGGTTACCAAAACAAGTTTCATTATGAATACAGACCGACGGAAAAAGAGAGGAAGCCTCCGGAAGAAAACTGGATCGAGGGGATTAATAACGCGATGGGAATGATAGGATTAGAAGAAGAACAATATACCAACAACAATGGAGGTTGGAAATTAGAAGACGTCGTAGAATGTTATAAACCGATTTATATATACATACAGATTAAAAGAGTTCGCAATGTGGTGTAACAGGCGAATGATCAGGATATCGTGGATAGAGAAGGTAATAGAAAGAATAGATGAACAGAGGACTCTGTGGAAGTCAGTAATAAATAGGCGAGATAGGTTGGTAGGACATCTTCTCAGGCATGAAGGGCTAATCAGAGACATATTATAGTCAAGAGGAGACCTAAATTAGATTACTGTTCGCAAATATTTAAGGATGCGGGATGTCCTAGTTTTAGGCTTCGCTTTTCCACCCATAACTTCAGAGGTGGACGACCTATTTCGATGGCTTCCCTCTCTACACTCCCCTCTCCTCCCACCTAAACTTAACCATTTTCCCTTCCCAATCCCAACCTTCCATTTTCTTTCCGGGGATGAGCAACCGTAAGGGTTTATCTCCCCGCTCGAGGAGGGGTTTAAGCCGATAAAAATCCGACACTACCTCCCTGTATGGGTGTCTTTTAAAGATTTCCCCTCCTCGAGAATAATCTATAAAAAAAATAGTTTTTGGGAATTGCGAAGATTAGCTAAGCATAGGAATGAGTGGAGGTGCGTGTCCAGCCGGTCTTAGAATTGACGACCCTATAATGATGATAGGTATATATGTTAGGCCCGAAGACCGAAAACGCTCAGTGGCCGGAAAAAACGGCCACATCGCGTTCTGGCTGCTTTCGAACGCACAGAACGCGTTTTGGCTGTTTTTAAACGCTCGCAACGCGTTCTGGTAACTGTTAAACAACCGGAACGCGTCTTGTCAATTGTTGAACGCTCACAAGGCGTTCTTAATGTTCGACTTGTATTAGTTGCCGCTTTCTACCTGCGCACAATGAGATTTATATTGTACTTATAAAACAAATGAATTTCAATCCATTTTTCAGTTTTTCGGAAACAATTCAGTTATTGACAAACGACTTTAGTAAGTTGTTTAGTCAATGACAGACTGATCTTCTCGCTACACGAGAACTGTACTGATTTTTCATGAAGTCAAGTTAGTTATTATATACTCAAAATTAATACCTCCCCTAGGGATTATTAGATGTGATTATGATGGAACCTTCTCGAAAAGTTGATTTCTAAACCTTCTTTATGGTCACATAATTCATTGTCATATAGAGTCATCGGTACGTGCATTATTATAAAATCGCCGAAAAGATCATACAAATTGCAAATGATAATAAATGTACTGCACTAGAATGATTATAAAGGAAAGTTGTACATTATGAGTACCTTCAGTTTATAACAATAGCTAATAACCGTACACCTATTGTTTAGGTAAGTTGACAAAATCTTAAAATTACAAAAGGTTATTAAAATTTCATTCATTCATATATTATATGCTCGACAATATAAGTGTTCAGTGTAACTTTCTTCCTAGAACTGAAAAACAATTATAAGAAATTTAATATTGTTGAAATGATTCGGCGAGAAAAACCGAACCCATCTTTGGTATCCAATTATAGTTGTCANAAGAAGTTCGTCGACAGACGAAGGACTCCAACAACGTCCTTTGGAAGGAAATCCACAAGAACAACAACGAAATCCATTTGAAAATCCTTCAATACAAGTTGCCCCTCCGAGAAACGTTGAAGATTTAAAAATAAAATTACGCAGTTTGGAAGCCAGAGTGGCTGAACTGGGTCATGTTCAAGATTCGAACGAGGAGCAACAGAGATACGCGGAGAATTTGCAGAGGTTAATTTCGAACTTGAAACTGGAGATTCAAGAAGCCACGAACCGTCAGAACCGGAACAGTATACAGCAATCCTTAAACATTGTCCGACGCAACAAACGGGAAATTAGAGATGACGATGTCAACGTTGAAAGACAAGCGGGGGAACTAGTTGACAAACTTTACAACATGTTGGAGGGCAGTAGATTCGCTGACGATGACGACATTGACAATGACGCTATGTTACAACAATTACCAAGGGCATCGCTGGAAAGATCCATAGAGATGGAACAAAGACAGCTCCAATCACAAATTGAACAGCTCAAGAAACAAATCGGTATAATAATTTCTTTTAGCTCTTGAATATAAATCATAATGCATAAACTTTTAAAATTTTGCAGACCCGTCACCCATTGATGAAGGAAATATCAGTAAAATTCCTCTACAACCCTATAGTGATGATGCAAACACCACCCCTTCCAACAGTGGCCAAGCAAGAGGTTCAACTGATGACGAAGAATCGGATAAAGCAAGGACTTTGACTCACCACTCACTGACCACTGGACCATCGCGATACTATCACGGAGGACATTCTGACAATTACGGTCCTGGATATGGAGTCCAAAAACATTACGGTCACAAGAAGGCGGACATTCTCGGCTCGATAATAGAAAAAATATTTGACAAACTACAACACGCCATACCCGCAATAATAAAGGGGCTTGTGGGTGATTTTGTTGATGGTGCCTTCTATGACCAAGGATACGCAGGTTCTGGTTATGGTTATGGTTCTGGTTATGGATATGGAGCCGATAAATATGACTATGGACACGACATTAGTTACAAATTCAAAAGTTTCGGACTTTTAGGCACACTGCCTTTGGCGCTTTTGAACATTTTGTCGACCATCAGCTACTTCTTCAAACTTTTGCAAAGGAACAAGTTTATCAGAAACTTCTTGATTCCTGTTGCAGTTATAATTGCAGTAACGGGATTGGTGGCATTTTTGGTATTTTGGTTTAATTACGACGCGTTTGCTGGTAATATGTTTGGCGGCTACAATGGTTATCAGAAAATTGGCAGTTATGACGATTACCACAAGGGTGGATATGGCAGTTATCAAAAAGTAGGATATGGAGACCACCAAAAAGGTGGTGGTTACGATAGTTATCCAAAACCCGGATATAAAGGTGTAAGTTACACTCCTGGCTACAGTTACAAGAAACCTTACTACAGAGACAGCAACGCGGAATCTTTCACGCCACCATTTACCCATAATTTGGACAAATCTGTATTAAACAACGAACCTAGTTTTCCAGGAATTGTAACGCAAATAAATGATCATACGAAACCAAAAATGTAACAAAATTTAAATGTACTATCAGACTTTTATACTTTTGTAATAAATTAAAAATAAAGAATTCAAAATAAAAGGCACTTTGATTTTACACTATCTAATAATTAGAAAGGTCACTGAAATCGTATAAAAATCCTTTTTCTCTAATTTTTATTTTCGTCTGTTATTCACTCCTACTTTAAGAATAATAAATGCTCTCCCGTTTGTAGCTGTAAAAAATTCTATTTATCATAATTAAAACTAAAAATAAAAATTAAACTTGAGCTGCTAATTGGTGACAATTTATCGTTCTTAATGTATAAAATAACGTCATGCCGACATGGTCCAAAATAATGATTAAAAAATTTTATGGTATTTTGTATTTCGAAGATGTTTACGAATGTAATTAATATATCAAAAAGAATCATATTTTTATACGAAATTTAATGGAGAAATCGAAAAAATAAAGGCACATTTACACGGTAACTAACAGAAAATAAGGCAGGACAACTGTAATTTCTTCAAATCGAAGTGTTTAATATGCGTTAGTCCAACACGTTTTAGTGAAATATTAACTATTGAAGAGATGTAAAATCTGTGATATTAGATTGTTTGCCATTGTTGAAAAATTACCTGTTGATATACTTAGAACTTGTATAAATAAAAATAAACGCATGTAATTAAAACAATATTGTTACTCTTGCAGTCCAGCAAGATAATCAGCACCTAATAATTATTTTAAAGGAATTCATTCTTACCTAAATACGCTTGTAATACAATGAACACGAACGCTACACTACAATTTACTTGTTTCCGCAGCCATGTTGTTCATATTAACAAGTTTTTATAAAACACATGCAAATATCATTGAATTAATACATAGTTATTTTTGCTTTTTGGTCTATCATAAGCCTACAGATTATAAATAACTAACAACCACAGAAAATGTGAGCAAACAAACGTCTACAGCCTACTATTTCGCTTGTTGTACAAGTCAATTTAAATTAAGTCTCAGATTCACACGAAAATAAAGACGATACAATAATTGTATTGCTTTATACACTAAATCGATATTAACAGTTATGCCCTTAAATTAATAAACATAATCTTACCATCAACAAACTGGGAGCACACAACGTAATAACTGGACAGTTCCCGTTTTCGACAGCCATATTGCTTAGACAATAGAAAAGATACATTGGTACAACCTGGATGTAACCTAAGAAACATAAAAATATTTTAAACAGCGTTTTCTAACCTATAAAAAATGTCAAAAACGTCGAAGTTGATAAAACGTACCGTCACTCTTACAATGTATAAGGGAAATTCTAAAAAACAAGAATCATTTAAATGTAAAAGTACTGCAACTGGTAATTTTGTGTACAATGATTTATTAGCTAAAAATATACTAACTTCTGTATTCAGGTAGATATGATAGCACATACGGTTTCATTGACTTCAACAAGATAGTCCCAAATCCTGCGGATTTTCTTCCCAGTGGAATAAAGTTACTCAAAAATATCGAAAAAAGTCATAAAAGTAAACACTATTTTTTATTTTTTTATGACAAATTGTTAAACAATTAACCAAATTCGTTACAGATAAAATATTAGCAAATCCAAATATTTTCAAAAGAATATCCATTCTGTCGTTAGTTTTCATAATTATCGTAGTAATTTCAAGTAAGAAATTTAATATTATTATTTAAACATTAAGCAACTGATTATAAATATTTTAGAAATTTTATGCAATTCATATTCAAGCTGGTTAAATCCTAAACAAAATGAAAGTGATACATGCACCATGTTAATTGCAAAAAATTCGAAAAATAATTATTTAAAAGAAATTTATCAGACCGAATGGGATGATGTTTACGAAAATATTCGTAAACTTCAACAACAAACTGATAAAATAAAAGCTAAACTGGAAATGGCGTCAAATCGACAGTAAGTAGTTTTCGATCAACTATTTAATCAAATTTTTAATTGATTTCTTTTGTACAAATCATGAAATTTTAAAAATAATGATTACAAAATATCTACGTATCATAGTATTTAAATTATTACTATTTATTTGTCTGTAATAATGGTTCAAACTTTCCTAAGAGACCTTGTATTTAGCAAACAACTTGCCTTTATATAAAATTATCATTCAAAGAGGACACACAAATGGGACCTAAATCGCATTTTTCAAAAGTATATTTAAAATACTTCAAATATGCAGCACGAACTAATTTTCTAAATGATAAAAATAAATGATGGGAGCAAGGTGATAACACATAAGCAAATACTTTTAAAAATTACATTTATTTATAACAAAAAATTTAAAAAAATATTATAACAACATAAAAACATATTTTCCACTTTCTCGTAAATTCGGTTATCTATTTTTATTAGAATTATACATATAATTATTTCTTATACAATAAACAGTATAAGCAATTGATTGGCATTTATAGCTGTAAAAATTCTGAATTCTCGTTCCACCGTTAGATGGTGCTGTAAGTCTTGTTTTTAATCGATACTTAAACCATATTTACAAGGATTCATAGCACACTCGATTAAATAGCACTCTGGTTTCCCTTCAGGTCGAATAAATCTTTCGCCTTTTACTAAAGATTTCCGTGGAGGGGGACAACTCAAATGAGTTTATAAGAGAATTTTTGGAGGGTTGATCCTTATGGGGTTGACCCAATAATTGTATACAAACATAGTTCCATTCATCCCGTTTCTAGTAGTAACTGAATACGTTATTCCCCGTGTACTCCCATTTTCTTTCACAGAGGAGATGAATATTTATGCAAATACAAATATTTAATTTATGTAAAATAAGGGGTTGTGTACGTAGATACATCAAAAGATCCTTACAGTAGAACAGGGGGGGTAGTTAAAAAAAAACGAGCAATATTCGATTACTAAAAAAGGTATCGATCAATGCTCACAGCTTTTACGAGATAGTGCAGTAATTTGATCATAAATAAAAGTCTATTGCAAGATTATTTAAGGAAGGGGTTGGCAAAAATTATTTACAAATTGTCATTCCCAAAATACTTTTCTTTATACATCTTTTGTCTCTCGCCTAAATAAAATCGAGTCTGCACCCCAGCGTGCGGATGTATTATACTAATATTAAATAGTAAAACATGAGACAAAAGTTTTGAAATTTAAAACCTATTTTCTTTATACCTGCTTTAGTAGCAACTATTTTAGTTATACAGTTTATATTTTATGTATATATGTTGAATATATTTCCGAGAAATAACCACACAGATCCATCTACGTGTCATATACATTCATCGTACGTATGTATGTGTATGCTTTCAGGCGAAAATTGAAAACGAAAATTGAGGATCTCAAAGCTGAAACCCTTTCTATACTCGCGAGAAAATTCGAAGAAGTGAACGTTAAAATCGAGGATGCTTTTACCTTGTATGATGCCGATAAAATAGGAAGGACAGGTAACCACATTTTTACTTACATTAATACCTATTTATATATGTCCACATAAAACCTGGAAACAGAAATATATTTATAAAAACTATAAAAGTTAAAGTCAATAATTTATCTAAACTACCGGGACGGGAATCACGGTTTCGATTTTATTAGTCCTCGTCAGCACGCCATTAGCAGTTTGGATAAATTACCTACACAAACATTGCAATTTACTGATATTATTTTTTTTGTTATGGATATTAACAGTAAGGGATCACCTTTTATTCTAAAAAGTCAAATTAACTTTCATACTAGCTTGGAAAAGATTTATTTGAAGAGTATAATCAAACATACACCGTATACCGGAAGTTGAACAATAACAATACTTTTTAGGATTAGATGAAACAAATGAATTTAATTTAAGTGAGATTAGTAGCATATAATTCACACTTTCCAGATTACGCTCTCGAAAGCGCTGGTGGTAGCGTGTTATCAACCCCTGGCACACACCCCTATCCGTCAAACAGATACGTGAACTTTTTGGGAATAAAAGTACAATCGTCATCTGATCCTTTGAACATTATCAGACCTGGTATTTTCCCGGGACAGTGTTTTGCTTTTCGGGGTCAAAAGGCACGGATTAGAATTCAGCTTGTTCGTCCAATAATAATTGATTCGGTCACCATGGATTATCCCTATCCAAAATTACTGATTGACACCACCAGTGCTCCAAAAGACTTTAAAGTTTATGTAAGTACAAAATGAGCTCAGAACTTTTTTATCTCGACTTCCTGCATGTAGGAGCGTAAGCTGAATTTCTTTTTCAACAGAAAACATTCACAATTAAGTTTTCCCTCTTTTTCTGCTATTTCAGGGAATTAAATTAATACCGCAAGTCTCAAAGTATGAATTGGGTCATTTTACCTTTACCCCTAGTAATAAAACTTCCACAACTTATTTTATAAATGCTACTCAAAAAATTTTCCATGAATATGTTGAACTTAAAATACTTAATAATCATGGGCATCCTAACTACACATGCATCTACAGATTTCGTGTACATGGGAAAGAAAAACACTGAAATTAATTAATTTTAAGCACATGTTTCTTTAACTTTTTAATACTTAATTAGTTTACCGTTTTTTTTAAACATTAATAAATGTATAAGGTATATTGAATACCCTTAGGAATTGATAAATCCTTTTAATTTACTTAGGCAGTTATGATTTTTTTTTGGTAAGGAAGGTACTTTGTGCGACATCTGCTATCGAGATCTATAAGTTTCCTAATTTATTTTACGTTTAGATGTTCAAATAACATATTCTTTATCAATAAATCTTTTATACTACAATTGTACTATTTAATTAAGGTTTACAGAATATTGGAAATATATGTTTCTACTTAATTTTTGAAACCAGTGTTAGATTTTTGTTCATTAGATAATTTTCATTTAATTCATAAACACTTGCAAATCTACAAATTTTTTATCAAAATCTAATTGCTAATATAAATAAATATTAAACAATTATCAAAATTATATAATCTCTTACATTTATTAATTACTACAAATCTTGTAATACCTTTTAGAAGTGTTTATCAAATACTACTTTAACCCTTTTTGCTAAAAATTGTTATTAAACCTAGGTATATGTTTAGAAT